GCTCAGAAATGTACTGGGAGCCAATGTAGGTCTTTTAAGACCGGTGTTATGTGGTCTCAGCTGCCCCTTCCAAAGGATTTGAGGCTTGCCCCTTAACAGTGGTCTGAGAACATAAGAAGAGCTTGCTGGATCAGGCCAATAGCCCACCTAGTCCAGCAACCTGTTCTCACAGTGGCCATCCAGATGCATCTTGTGGGAAGCCATCGAGCAGGATCTGAGCAAAAAAACCCCAAAAACACACCACTCTCTTCTGCTGTGGTTTCCAGCAGCTGGTATTCAGAAGCAATGCTGACTCTGACTATGGAGGCAGAAGTTAGCAATCATGGCTAGTATCAGTCAATAGCCTCCTCTTCCATGAATTTGTGTATTACTCTTTTAAAGCCATCCATGTTGGTAGTCATCACTGCCTCCTATGGGAGTGAGTTCCACAGTTTAACTATTTGCTGTGTGCAAGCAGAGAGGGATTCAATTTCCACACCATCCTTCATTCAAGGATCGCAGGGTGGTTTATGATATAAAAACACAAAAAATACATACCATAGTAACAAACGAAAACAGTAATCCCTGCCCCACTTTAAAAGGCCATAGATTGTTTAATCAGCTTGGGAGAAGAAGAATGTTTTTGCCTGGTGCCTAATGAAGGCGTCAGGCGAGCCTCCCTGGGGAGAGCATTCCACAAGCGGGGAGCCACCGCAGAAAAGGCCCCGTTCTCATGTTGCCACCCTCTGGATCTCTCCCAGTGGATGCATAAAAAGAAGGGTCTGGGGAATCTGGGTTAGATCAGGCCAAATGGGGCTCATCAAGTCCAGTATCCTGTTCTCACAGTGCCCAACCGGATGCCTGTAGGAAACCTGCAAGCAGGATTCACACTCAAGAGCACCTCTCTCCTCCTGTGTTTTCCAGCAACTGGTATTCAGGAGCATCGCTGCCTGTGACCATGGAGGCAGAGCATATAGTCAACATGGGTAGCCTTCTCTTCCTCGAATTTTGCTACCCCGTTTTGCAAAGGAAGGCAGGCGGGGGAAACCGTGACGAAAGGCTCTTGGCCCAACTTTCCCCCTAACCTTTCCCAATTAGGTGTCCAGAGGAGGTTACGGGAGAGCAGCAGGTTATATCAGGGAGGAAAGCAAACCATTTTCAGATGTAGCTGCTGCTTTTAAGTTCCTTGGTCCTCTTGCCCTTAGGCTGGGCATCCTTTTTAAAGAAGAGAGAGAGGAGGGCAAGGAGGGGGAGGGAATGTTTCTCAATTCGCCACCCTGTGCTTCCCTTGCTTCCCTTTCGCCTGTTTCTAAAATTGGAAAGGAGCACCCGGCTTGACCCTTTGAAACAGAGGATGGGAGACAGGGGGCCTGTTTCAAGAGCCTCTTCTCTGGGCTGGTCAAGCCTCTCAGCCCTTACTGCTGCCTTTGTCTGGAGGCCTTAAAGTTCGCAGATCAAAGTGATCTGAAATGGCCCCCTTTTTAAGGGAGGGAAGGGAAGGGCTGGAGGAGGACTATATGGCTAGGAACTCAAGCCGTGAAACTCTTGGTCTCTTCGTTTGATGGAGGGCGTTCGAAATGGCGGGGGCTGGTTTTGTTTTATTTTCAAGAAAGAAGATGAGACAAATTCATGGAGGAGGCTGTTGGAGTAGGCTGTATTGAGGGCTGTTAGTCACGATGGCTGCCATGAGTGGAAGCAATTCTGAAAGATAGTTTCTGGTGCTTGAATCCAACTCAAAGGCTTCCCATTAAGGCTCCAGGTGGCCACTGAACTGATGCAGTTAGTTCTTCTTATGTTCTTGGTTTGTTTGTTTGTTACATTTATATCCCACATTTTCCTCCAAGATGCTCAAGGTGGGATGCATAGTTCTCTCCCCCCCCCCCCCATTTTTAATCCTCACAAGAACCCTGCAAGGTTGGTTAGGTGTGGACTTCATGGCTGAGTGGGGATTCGAACTTTGGTCTCCCCCAGGTCTTGGTCTGATACTCTCACCACAACACCACAGTGGCCCTTAAAAGGTAGAACAGTGTAGTGAGGAGATGAGGTTTGCCTTTTGTTCAGTGGGGAAGGGAGATGATCCCTTCATGGGGTGGACTGTGGTGGATTCCTTCCCGATCTTCTACAAAAGTTCCATCTCCCATGTTAAAGAGCTTCTGGACTCTCTCAAAGGCTGTGGCGTGTCCATTGCTGGGTGTGTGTTGAGAAGGGAGGGAAGTGTGGCTGCAGAGTGTGCCTCCAAGGCCCCCCATGGCCATCCACCCATGGCCATAGTCCACTCTCAGCCAGTCCCCACCTCTCTGCTTTTCTTACTTGCAACCAGTCCAGAAGGCCACCCTGGCTCTGTCAGTTTCCTTCTCCTTAATCTCAGTGTTGCCCCTTGTAGAATTCATCAGGGAGGAGGATGGAGAGAAGCTGCAATTAATTCACTCCACCTTGCATTGGCTCTAGCGCCACCTACTGTGAGGCTCCCTGCTTTCTGACCTACCAGCCCTGATGACCAACAGCCAACCACTGATGGCCAACGAGTCAAGCATGGTGTTGGGAGTCTGGAGCTTTTGAAACTCTCCTCCAGTGCCCAGAGTTGCTCTCCAGGGGAAGGCAGTACTATTTGTGGGGTGGAACCACCCTATCCATCGGATCTTGGCCTTTCAGGGAGGATTGTTAACAACAGCTGGGCCTGTTTCACCATTTCTTATGAAATGGCCACATCCTCTTGCAGAAACATTTTTATTTTATTTTATTTTCCCCGTCAAAATTTCAATGGGTTCTTCACAGCTTTTGGTTTGCAAAGGTTTCCTCCCCAGTGGCAAATCTCACATCCTCATTTTGGAGTGTGTGTTTTAAAGTTGCGGACATTTCGTAAGGGTGCCTTACTGCCTTCGATTTTTATTTCCCCTTTTCTCCCCAGAGTTTCCTTCATCCTTTCCCCCCTCCCCTTCCTTTTAATCTCATCCCAAACACCAGGCTTCACTTCTGCCTGCACTTGAATAAATGCACAGCAGGACTGCTTCAATTTCCATCTCTCAAACTCTCAACACAGGAAGCCAGAAACGCCTTTTCTTTAAAGTGTCTGTTACTTTGGTTTTGGGATTTTTTTTTTAAAAAAAAAGATGTAAACACACCCGACTATCTCTTCCCAGGAGGGTGAAGGAATTGTTTTATTCTTATTTTTATTTTTATTTTTAAAAAACCTTCTAGACAAACCTTTCCCTGCTCAAATAATTTTAAAGGGCCTCTAAAAACAAATAACAGAAATTCGGGAGCTGTAGCAAGGGTTTTGCAACTGATCATTGGTTTAAACTGACTATAAGCATGCAGCTGAGCTAATAGTATTTTTTTTTTTTTTTTAGCAGAATATGAGCATATTTTTAGGAGAGAAAGTAGCAATCCTAAACTCACTTGCTAGGAAGTCAGCCCCATTGAACTTAGTGGCATTTAGTTCTGAAGTTTAGGATCAGCACTGAGAGTCAACTGAACCCTTGCTAAACTGAGAACTCTATACAAGACCATAAATCTATCTTGTGAATTTATGATTAGGGTGTTTTTTTTTCCGGGGGGTTGGGGGAATCCACTCCCTATAATGACCGCCTCTTTGTATTTAAAATTAATTTTGCATTTCAGGTGAGCTCGGTCTGAGTACAGTGGGATGGGATTATATTTAATTAAGTCCTGCTCAGAAGAGACCCAAGGAAAGTAAATTAGGCATCATGTCCCATGAGTTACAATGCTTTTACTCTAAGGAAGACAAATGTCGCCATCAGCTCTTACTTCCCAGTATAGGATGATTCAGTGACATGCTTCAAAATTTTGGGCCATAGAGGCTTCTGAATTCCTGTTGCTGGAAGCCTCGGATCCTGATTGTTGGTTTTGGGCACGTAGACTGGGTTGGCCACTGTGAGAACAGGATGTTGGAGTAGATGGGTCAGAGTAGCTGGGGAAACCCAGCCAGGTGGGTGGGGTATAAAAAATAAAATTATTATTATTATTATTAGCCTGATCCAGCAGGCTCTTTTTATGTTCTTATATAAGTCTCGCCACAAAAGAAGCAGTCCAATTGCATACAACTGTTTTGTTGACTATTTTCCAGGATGACCCCCCCAAAAAAGGATTTAGAACCTAAGGAACTGGTTACATTCTGCTTGTGCATCCACAATAACAGCAGATAGTACAGACTTGGAATAACTTGGAAATCTGCAACCTCCCCCCCCCCCAAACTGCAGACGATAGCTCTTAACTACAAACCCTTGTAAACAAATATATCGCATGTGTTTAGATTTTTGAGAAAACGCCATTCGGGGGACATTTTTGGACCATTTCCCTCCATTGGAGTATTCCCCCCCACTTCACCTATTCTCTGCCCCCTAACCTCTTCCTTCCCCCTGGCCTTGCAAGAGTTTTGAAGCCACGGCTGCTCCATTCTCCAGGCGTGCCTGGAAAGGCCCCCACTTTAGAAATACAAACAACTTTTAAGAAAGAAAACCAAAGTAACCACACCAGAATGGCTCTGTTCAATGGGGGAATAGTTGTCGGGCTTTGCCATGGTGTGTTCAGTGGCCGTTCCTTAATCCACCTTTCATTTTCACCGACAAATGTCAAGAATCTGTATCTGTCTCCACTCCCTTGGGAGCGCTGATTAGTCAACAAAAGGGGCACCATTATCCGCTGAAGAGAACAGGGGGGGGAGGAGTGGCAGGGAAAGAGGGGGGTCTCCGCTCTTGTGGGGGGGTGAGGGCATCTTTAAACTATTGACTTAGTGGATGAAGTCAAAAGCAAACACTCTGGGCTCTTTAAGTTGGAGGGGGGGGAGTGGGAGGATGGGGAGGTTATGGAAAGAATGAGAATGGAAGAAAGCCAGGCTTGGCTAAGAAGAGTCCACTCTTCCTACTGGCGATACTCTTTAGTCTTCCATTTCTCCCTTCTGTTTAAGAGGAGCTTGCTGGATCCCAATGTCCCATCTCATAGGATCATAGAGTTGGAAGAGACCCTGGGGATCAACCCCCTGCAATGCAAGAATATGCAGCTGTCCCTTGCGGGGGTTCGAACCTGCAACCTTGGCGTTGTCATCACCACGCTCAAACCAACTGAGCTATCCGATGCTTCTACGTCCAACATCACTGTTCTCACAGTGGTCAACCAGATGTCAATTTCGAGAAGCCTGAACGCAGGTCCTAAGCGCAACAGCGGCCTTCTCCTCTCCTGCAGCTTCCAGAAACTGGAATTCAGAAGTATCCACTGCCTCTGGCTTGAAAGCATCCCATAATGAGCATCTGGGTGGCCACTGTGAGAACAGGATGCTGGACCAGATGAGCCACTGGCCTGATCCAGCAAAGCTCATGCCGCAAGGTGCAATAGTGACCGCCAACTTGGATTCGACAGAGCTATTGGCGACTATGCTCTTACCTCCACTGTTGGAGGTAGTAGATCAGGCATTGGCAAACTCCGACCCTCCAAATGTTTGGGACTACAATTCCCATCATCCCTAGCTAACAGGACCAGTGGTCAGGGATGATGGGGATTGTAGTCCCAAACATCTGGAGGGCTGGAGTTTGCCCATGCCTGTAGTAGTTCCTTCTGAAGACTAAGTGCTGGGAATTGCAAGTGGGGGAAGTTGTGCTCAGCTCCTGCTTTTGGTATGCGTGATGGGCATCTGGTGGGCTGCTGTGAGGACAAGATGCCAGCAGATGATGATGATGATAGGAATGCCATTTGTGGACTGATTTCTTGACACACAGCAAGTAGGTAGGGAAGAAGGGCGCTGTTCCCTTGCATTTGTGTTTGGCATGGGACTAGTCACCTTCCAGGAAGGATGATGGAACATTCTTGTCCAGGGGTGGGGAACCTCAACACCTGGAGGATGAATATGACACTCCAGACCTCTATATAAGGACTCTCTCTAGATCACCTCTCTCACTGGCCCCATTTCTCATCCTCCTGGAGTGTTTACATTTGGCTAGAAAGTGTCCCTGAACTATGACGACGGCTCTTCCTTCTCCAGGTAGAGTCCTGGCCAGCATGCCAGTGGTCAGTGATGTTGATTAGAGCTGGAGTCCTGTGACATCTGGAGGAACATAGATGCCCCAGCCTTGAAATGGGCCATCACTTGCCTTTACTGCCCCTTAACAAATCTGCAGCCTTTTCATGCAGAGATAGGGGGGTGGGTCCTGTGGTGTTGCTGGACACCACCTCCCATCATTCTTGACCACTGGTCATGCTTCCTATTGAGCCTGATGGGAGCCAGATACCAGTAGTGTCTTGAACGTTTCCCATTCCTGAATGAAACCATCACTTACCTTTACTGCCCCTGGCTACTTCAATCACATTTCTGCCTTCCTTGAATGCAGGGATGGGCCATCTGTGACCAACCAGATATTGTTGGACTTTGACTCCCCCCTCCCCAAAATTACCACCCTTGACTATTGGCCATCCAACACCATATGGGGGGCGGACAGAGGTTGTCAGCCCCCTGGCCTCAGTAGGATGACATAAGGGGATAGGATGGTTGAGTTAAAACCCCAGGCCAGTCACATCCTCTGTAGAAGAAAGGTGCCATTGTCAAGGCTCAGCTGCAAATTTGATCTGAGTTTGTTTCCTGATGTTTTATGGGCATAAATTGAATTAAAGCCACGTTTTGAAAAGAGGGCATCTAAGCGAAGGGGCTCCTCCGTTTCTGATCAAAAGGATGCTTTATAAGTTGTCCAGTCTGGAGTTTACTAGGATCCTTGGGAGATATTTCTGCCTCTCCTCAAAATCTAGTGTCGTATGAATCGAAGGAGGGAAGAGCTTCCAAACATTTTAAAGTGTTTTTCCTTTCTCAGTTGCCATGGATAGAGGTGAACAGTTCTAAAACTTATGATTTCCCCCCTGAAATAAGTTTAATTTATAGAAGCACAAGGCACATCAAAAATGTTTCTCTTCTTCCAGATATCAGTAGCCATGCCCAATCCAGAAGACTCTATTCCATTATTCTTTTTTCCCATTCCTTTCTTCCACCAGACAGTTGGTATTCCATTCAGTCCTCTGGCTCAGTTGTTTTGGTCTTCTCTGCCCCCTTGAAATATATATTGCAGGTAAAATGTTGTCAAGTTAAGGATTGGCATTTGAATGTCACTGATAATGGGAGTCATTCTAGACTAGGAGCCTCACAAATTCTAAGCAGCAGCACCCCCCCATTAGTGCAAGTTTTAAAACTGGTGCTGACTTCAACATAATTTTGGAAAATTCCATCTGCCACCTTGATTCAAAATCATGGCCGAATGTAGCCAAACCTAGATGAAAACCCACACATTCCAACTGCCTTCTGGGACTCATTGAAATGAATAGACTTCAGTTAGCCGTCTCTTCATTCCAACAGGTTTACTCTACGTAAGACTAATAATCTTTAGTGTTGGGTTGTTTTGTGTTTTTTTGTTTGCTATTTCTGAACCATAAAAGGTGTTCATTTGTGTGTGTGTGTGTGTGTGTTTTAATGTTTAAGGGATATTGTTTCAGAGAAAGGTGCCACATTTCTGTTGAAACGGTACCTGCAGGGCAAAAATACATATAGGTGATGATTATTCAAAATGGGTTGTATCCAGCTGCTCAGAGTAGACCCACTGAAATTAATGGACCTAAGCTAATCACACCCATTAATTTCAGCAAGATTACTCTGAATTGGACTAGCATTGGCTACAGCCCACTATTATTAGTAGTATTCATTCACTCATTTACTATTGTTTATTCTTCCCAAAGACCTCAAAGCTCAACTACATCCTCGAGTCAGCCTTTTCATTACTGAATGCCAGTAGCTAGCTTCCGACGTGTCTCTTGCAAATGCTTGAGTTAATATCAGTATTTCATTTGGGCACAACTCTTAAATATATAGTTGTGTTGGTGGGGAGTCATTTTAAAAACCTTTGTCAAATCAAAGCAAAGAGCGGTGATTTTGAGCCACAAAAAGTGACGGTGATTTTGTAGCAAGCATCCAAGGGTCCCTTACTGCTGTGGACCTTATTTTATTATTAATTTTTTATTTGTTGTTAATTATACCTGTCTCATCTCCCCGCCCCCCATTCTTTCACACCTCTCTACCTCCGGTCTTTCCTATCCAGCCACCTGGGCCAGCCGGAATGACCCACAGGTTCCTTCTGAAGTCATTCCGTTGCTGTAATTATTTTTCATGGTTTCCCTTGGCACGGAGGAAATGGAGAAGGAACTTGAGGGGCTGGCTGGAGGGAGGTGGTGGGGGGAGATGGCGGGGTTGCGTGGGTAGAGGTTACCTGTTCAATGGAAGCTGGAAGAGCGAGGGAGAGAGAGGTCAGGAGGGAAATGGCATTTTTCCAGAGCCATAATTAGATGTAAACAAGAGGCGAGAGGGGGAGCGCCATGGTCCAGGCGCTCGATTGTGAAGGGATTAACTCCTAAATAAACTAATAAAGGGCCCTGGGGTTGCGGGCAGGACACAAAAGGCTGCAAGAATATCAAAGCCTGCAGAGGCCCAAGCCCGGCAAAGGCAGCGGAAAGGTAGAGGAATTCGACTCAGCTGGGATCGTTTGGAATCTGGAGGCTGAGCTGAATGTGGAACACCAAGGGAACCTGTTTTGGGCCACTGAGCTCAGGGTTACCTGCACGGACCGGCAGCTGCCCTCCCGCTCCCCATCAGGAAGGGCCATAGCTTGGACTTGGTGCTTTGCACTAAGGAGGTCCTAGGAGCTGTCTCTGGCTCTTGCTGACATCTTGGAGAGCCCATGCCAGTCAGTGTCGACGTAGAGGGACCAACATCAGGTACCTTCCCATGATCCTATCAGCCCTTCACAGTCACAAGGGCTGGAATATTTTTCTTTTTTAGAATATATTTCTATTAAGTTTTACATAACAAATTGAAATTCAAACATATCACTCACCTCCTCTAGGATTCTCTGAATCCCTTGACTTCCCTCTGCCCTTCCATGGTTACCATTGTCAATCTTTCTTTTCATCTGCTTATCTTACACAGTGGTACCTCGGGTTAAGTACTTAATTCGTTCTGGAGGTCCATTCTTAACCTGAAACTGTTCTTAACCTGAAGCACCACTTTAGCTAATGGGGCCTCCTGCTGCTGCTGCGCCGCCGGAGCACGATTTCTGTTCTCATCCTGAAGCAAAGTTCTTAACCCAAGGTACTATTTCTGGGTGAGCGGAGTCTGTAACCTGAAGCGTATGTAACCCGAGGTACCACTGTATTCTCTAATTTGTTTTAAGAATAGTAATCCATTTTTTCCATAGTTTTTCGTGCATTACAAGCATTACTCAAATCCTGCCAGAGTTTTTAGTCGTTTACAGTGTTCTCTTAAGTATATTATAAATTTCCCCCATTCCTTAAAATTCTTCTCTTCCTGGTTTCTGATTTTCCCAGTCAGTTTCGCCATTTCGGCATCATCTTCAACAGCCATTACTCTCTGGTTGGAACTTTGTTGTCTTTCCGCTCCGGGCCAGTAGTATTTGCACTGCTGTTGTCGCGCACATGAATAGTCGTTTCTGCTACCTCGGAATTTCTGTACCTAAAATGCCTAACGAAAAAGCCTCTGGTTTTTTCACAAATGTTATTTTAAACATTTTTTTAACTCCTTGTAAATTATTTCCCAGAATGCTTTAGTTATCTTGCACATCCACCACATGTGGCAGAATGTACCTTCTTTCTCCTTACATTTCCAGCAAACATTGGAAGCAGTTCTATACATTTACAGGTGTTAAATACCATCGATACATCATTTTCATGCAATTTTCTTTCAACTCACAACACACTGTAAATTTTAAGTCTTCACAAGGGCTGGAATCTTAATTCCATTTTAGCAGAAAGGTCATAGCTCAGTGATAGCACAACTGCACTGCTTTCATATGTATCCAGTTTCAATCCTTAGTACAGTGGTATCTTTGGTTACGTACTTAATTCATTCTGGAGGTCCGTTCCTAACCTGAAACTGTTCTTAACCTGAAGCACCACTTTAGCTAATGGGGCCTCCCTCTGCTGCTGCACCACCGCCATGCAATTTCTGTTCTCATCCTGAAGCAAAGTTCTGAACCCGAGGTAATATTTCTGGGTTAGCGGAGTCTGTAACCTGAAGCGTATGTAACCCAA